GGGAGGTAGAGAGGAGGACAGAGGCCGATGATGGTCCTAACAGTTTGACTCACCCGCGGTCAGATCGTGGAAAACAAGTTATTAAAAACCCAAACTTATGACTGAAAGTGTTTGAAAAATTCATACCGGCCGATTGGATAAAACCAGAACGTTCTGATCAAACTTTTTTTTTTTTTTTTAAACCTTTATTTTTGTATTGTTCTGTTGTAAATCAGATAAAAATGGACATGAAATAATTCCTAACTAATTCCCCTACTGTGTGAAACAAAGTACAAATATTTTTAATATCCTGTATATTTGCCTTCATTTTAATAAAATGTACGCTGCAGAAATCGTCTTGTAGAAACAAGCAAAAGATTTGATTTATTGATTCATCATGTGTTGCATAAACATGAATTCCTAAGTTTATGTAATTTAACTTGTTGCTCAACTAAGTTACTAGTACTGGTTAGTTCCAGGATATGAAATACTTTCCTCTTGGTCCAGAACAATAAGAATTTCTTGATATCTTATTTTTCCTTTGGTGCAGTGTATGCAGCAGTTGCAGTATTTCCCAGCACTATTATGACATCAGTTGTCTTTGGTTGATGACATAACCATTAACCACAATTAAATCTATGCTGCTGTACACTAACAATTCCTTCTGGATTGACCCTGATATTATTATATCAACTGATAAACTTTCACACACAGCTGCTTGATGATGCACACACCCTCATGATCCATATTAAAAAAAAAAAAAAGTCAATGACACATTTGCTCCTGCTGCTAAAACCCATTAGAGACTTTCCTGGGAAAATATCCAAACAAACACCTTTCACTCTCAAGGTCATGATCCCATCCTGGTCCAGGAGCGATAAGGATCTCAAGCACTGCTCTGAGACCTGCTCAGCCTACAGCTGCTCTTTGAGTCATAAAGAGACGCTTCATTCATTCAATGCCTAGATTTCGGACTAAATTTTGTACAAAATCAAACATGCGTCACCACACTTCTATTACAAGGCGAATGCTAACAAGTCTCTGTGGAACCACAGGTTGTGCGTCACTAACTTTTTTAGTTGTTGCCAGCAGCCAATGGACTGCCAGGCCTTTGTTTCACAAACAGCAGATCGTTTCCCTGCTGCTGCTTTTTTTTTGTGCCAACATTAAGTAATAACGGCTAAGGATTTTCACCGTAATCAAAGCCAATGAAAGTGCTAATGGTAAATGAACTTTGGCTTCAAACACTTTGTTCTGTTGTTCAAGGTCACAAAGGTCTGGGAGTGAGGGAAAAAGAGAGGCCGTCAGGTCCAACATCAACTAGTTCTTAGCACGACACAAGCACACCTCTGAGGTTAGAAAGTAAAACCAGGATGTCCGCTGGTTTCTAGCTTGGTGTTACAGTCAGTAATTACAGCAACAAGAAAACTGAAATTGAAATTCACCAGAGAGTGATTGGTAACTATGACTAAATGATCAAATGACTAATGATGTTTTTTTTTTATTCGGAAACAAGATTAAAGGTGACCTCTGAACTTTTAGACTAGTGTTTATAAAAGAGTAACAGAAAATAACAGAAAGAAATTCAAGAATCAACGACAAAAAAAACCCCAAAACAATTTAAGACAGCCTTCATGTCTAAAAACAAACAATCATGATGTAATTTATTATGGTTCATTGAACATATTAAAAGTGTACTGTGAGTGAATAAATGACACAAATAAAAAAGAACATAAAAGCAGAAATAAGACGTTCACACAGTTAAAACACTGTACAATTCACACAAACGCACACACACGGATATTAAAATCACGGATGTCGTACAAAAACATGATTTCAAGTTGATGTGCTGTTGGCACTGCACCTCAGTTTGAGCACAGTGAGAAAAAACACCTCCAGCTCAGATTCCACATCTTCACATTTCATGCTCACATGTGTGTCTCATGACAGGAGGGTGATGAGAGCGTCCAGAAACTTACTCCTGTCCTCTGACTTCAGTTCAATTACTGCAGGAGAGAGGACATTAATTAAAAAAAAGTCATCGCTGTGTGGACCGGCAGTTTACATTACATGCACAAGGTTGCCACCTAGAGCCGGCTGAAGAAACTGCCGTCTATGAGCTATCTATTTCACTTTCAACAAAAACATACAGTATATCTGAAGATGGAGGTTCTCAAAGGAGGGATTGGGGCCCATGAAAGGACACTACAGACAGAACCTGTCCAGAGGTTTTTATTAACTTATACTGTATGCCAAACCTGTCCAGTCCACACTGATGAATCAGTTTATCAATGGCTCATACCGGTTCATTTACAGGAAGACAATTAAACTAATTAATTCATAACTGATTCAATTAATGTAATTAATATCATTAAAACAAACAATGACTCATTTTTTTCTGACTTACTTAAACAAAATCCAATATAAAATGTACAATTGATACAGTATATAAAACTAAGAAAATTATTGAAATTGAAAGAAACCTCTAGTTACTCACTGGATGTGTCAAAATGGTCATGAAGAGTTCTGGAGCTGGTGCTCTCTGCTGCTTTCTCAAACGCCCGACCAAAGAAGCTAAAAGGAAAAAGTAAAGACGTGCATAAATTAATATTTATGAATATTCTGACAGTGTTTCATCTTGAACACAACCCCATATTCTTCGTCATACTTCTTTTTGTCTGACGTCTCTGACTCTGGTGGAATCCCTACGACAATCACTGTTCCCTTCTCCAGATCCTTAGGAGCAGCCATGATGAGTGGAAGCAGTTTACAGCGTTTATTCCTGGTCTGGATTAGGTTTAAAAAAAAAAAAAAAAAAAAAGAATGACAACAACAGCGGTGAGAGTCTGCTGCCTTCACTGTTTCCTCATATAAGATGGAACACTCAGAAACTCACTGATTGGACAAAAGCTTTGAGAAGGTATTTGGAGAGAAGAGTCAAAGCCACAGGTTTAGAGAAGATCTTCACGTCAGGAGTTCCCTGCAGATGAGCAGATAAACAAATTCCAGGTTTTTCAGGATGCATGAGAATTGTGAGAACTTCACATGTGTTGTCCCCATTTCCAGACACCAAATAATGAGGTTCTAATCCAGAGCGACACTCGTACCTCCATCAGGTAGCAGTAGAGGAAGGGTCCCTGAGACAGGATGAGGTTGGTGCAGATGCAGCTGGCTACAGTCTGCTGGATGGCCAGCAGCTTCTTTTTGGCCAGGTCAATGCCAGAGTATAAATGATCTAGGTTACTCCTGCAGAGAGAGAGAGGGGAGAGGGTAGAGGGACGAAGGCAAGGAGGCGAGTGAGAGAGAGAAAGAGAGCGGAGACAGAGACAGACACAGAGAGTGAGAGGGAGAGAAGGAGAGAGAGTGAAAAGAGGGAAAGTGAGTGAGAGAGCGTAGACAGACAGAGGGAAAAGGAGAGAGAGAGAAATCAAAGATCAAATCAACCATCTCCAGTCACCATGTGTCACTATGTGACTGGAGAATTAGCCATGGACTGTGACAAACCTGGAAAGCGAGTCAAGAGCGTTGATGAAGTTGTCGCCGTCACTTTTCTCCGTGCTCTCCAACAGTGCAGCGCATGCGTGAACCATGTCACTGGCCAGAAAACGGTTCTTAAAACCAAAATGAACACCAAAGGTCTGAATCCGTACATCCTTCATCCTGATGAAGACATGAAGCAACGACAGAATCAATGATCTGCAGAGCACAAGGAGAG